ACATAGTAAGTATATACATCGACGCCCACGTGTATTCGAATTTCACTTACGTATGAAGAAAGTATGTACTTCATCTACTTATACATATATCAACGTTCTGTTCGATGGACATTATATATTACATAACATTTTGATGAAACAATATTTATATGAAATGAATCTGTAGAAAAAATGAAATCTATATAGATTGAAAGTTTCACCTGTTAAAAATAATAATGTGTAGTACAATTTGTACATTCTGCACATTTTTACATATTATTAATGTATAAATATAGAATGCATATAAAGGCTGTATGTAATGTATGAAATATTAAAAGCTGCGTGAATATTATGGGCTTAAATGATAAAACGAATTCCAATCGACGCATTTTTAATTGATACCAAGAGCGTTTTATCTTGCATAAAAATCCGTNGGGAAAATTGACCATTCAACTATAATTTTAAACCATTTCCTATTGAATTTTGCACGTCTTTCATTTACTATTATTTTATTAGATTTGGGTGAACACTTTTTGCCAATGATGGTACATTATTTACTTTCTTGCTGATGGAAGGTCGATGGACGTGAGTGAAAATCGACCATGCGATTATAATACAAAAGCCAATACCCTTCCTTTCGGGTCAGTCGGTCAATTCCCTTGTCCACGAATGTTCTATGTTACGCACGTGTCCTTCCGCGTTCCAAATGTATGCTAGAGGAAGTGTCGCCTGACAATGAGTCAGAGTGAAAGAAAGTTGCCGATTCCATTACGCACTTGTTGGAATTTCTGTCGTGGCCATATCGAGCTACATAGTAAGTATATACATCGACGCCCACGTGTATTCGAATTTCACTTACGTATGAAGAAAGTATGTACTTCATCTACTTATACATATATCAACGTTCTGTTCGATGGACATTATATATTACATAACATTTTGATGAAACAATATTTATATGAAATGAATCTGTAGAAAAAATGAAATCTATATAGATTGAAAGTTTCACCTGTTAAAAATAATAATGTGTAGTACAATTTGTACATTCTGCACATTTTTACATATTATTAATGTATAAATATAGAATGCATATAAAGGCTGTATGTAATGTATGAAATATTAAAAGCTGCGTGAATATTATGGGCTTAAATGATAAAACGAATTCCAATCGACGCATTTTTAATTGATACCAAGAGCGTTTTATCTTGCATAAAAATCCGTGTCATGAAATGATGCAAACAACATTATATGAAAAGATAATGAATAATTATTATACGGAAAATAACAGAAAGAAGGAGTCTCGATTTCTGGGGAATAGACGCTCGTGGTTTCGCATCACCGAAACGAATTTTGAATGAGGCGACGGGAATACCGATGAGACTATGCAGATGACGGGTTCGGAAAAATCAGCGTAAGTCGCCGGCGGCGTGCCGATGACCGGCGCTGACCCACTTCTATAGAAAACTGACCAGTCCGCCCACGTTCTCTTCGAACTCGAACTCGAAACCAAGGTAGGTTCAATGTCGTCCCGCGACTCACAAAGACAGGTAGCCACGTCCATATACTTACACTTCTACCGTATACTATCGTCCAAATCATTACATGGCCAGAAATGATTTAATATTTCTCTCAGAAACTCACTCAACTTTAAGGATTTTTGTTATAATTTAAAGTACAAGATTTCATTTAATCCTATTTATGGATTTAGAGAAAATTTTTAATTCAAAATGCATATTATTATTCTTAAAATAATTCTAAATGGACATCAGAAATATTTTAATTCACATGACAATTTGTAACGCTTCAATGTGATATTTCATTAACAAATTGAATAATGGATCGCAAGAAGATTTATGAAACTTTTGGATGGTAGTGTATATAATGGACGCATGTAGGTACGTACACGAACAGTACGTCCCAAGATGTGTACAGCTTAAGCCTTTAGCCCTGCCCATGTCGAATATTTGCATACGGATCCGTTACTCAGCTGACATTCTTGGAAAATCCAAGAAAGGCAAAAACAGAGTAACGTTACTTGATAGAAAGGAAATTGGCAGCATTTCCACTCGAAATCCTGCTGCAAATTTGTTAGGATGATACGAACATGGCAACAAATTAAAAGTGAAAATATTGAAAGTGAAAATAAACGTCAGACGAATGAGAACTAATATAAAGAGATATAGAAAATAATTCTTTCGTAATGATCAAATTAGTGGAAATTATACAAAAGAACACAACTCTGCAAAGTTCTTTAGAATACCTTTAAAACTTTGTTATCCTTACGAGCTTCGAGTACTTAAGTCTTTCGCCAAGTTAATCAGAAAATAGAACAGAAGACAATTTCCTTTCCAAGCTTTAATACAGCGTCCACAGTGTGCGTACTAGTTTATAATTATTTCTAATACACGTCCGATTTAGAATTTTCGAAATTACTCACTTCCTGGAATAAATTGTGGAACGTATATCGGAGATGCGTGAACGGTGTTCATCAGGATGTTCCCGAGCAAGACGATAGCCCAGAGCTTTCGGTTCCACATCTAAAACAAAAAACAGAAATAAAATGAGAAGTTAGAATATGAAAATCACTCGGGTTTTCACACATACAGATGGTCGTATCAATAATATTTTCTGCAAATTCGAAGAATTTCTTTAACACATTTTCAATTGATTAAAATTGAAGGGTAAGATATAATCGTATGCCATTTGATAAGCTCTTGATTTGGATAAGATTTGAATGAACATGTTACAAATATTATCTACGACTTAAGTGTTTCCTGTTGACTCAAAAATTGAAACAGGAAATGACATATATAGACATTCTTAAATGATTTTAATCGTTGATTAAAAATTCTTTTATTACTACGTTTTTATTAGCTCACTTTATTGTCTGTCCGGTACGAATTTTGCAATTTATTTTAAACTAGCTTCCCGATGAGTTAGAGACTAAAAAGAAGAAAATAATTATTTAAATAAAAAAATTCTTAATACACCGCGTTTTAAAAACGGAATAAAAAGTATAAAATAATTATAGAATACTTGCCAGATTTAAAACGAAAAGCGCATACAATAGATAATTGATGCATGAATAGCGAGTCCTACGTCTTTCGTTTTAGACTTTATAAGTATTTTATAATTACTTTATACTTTTTATTCCGTTTTAATATCGTGGTGTATTAAAATTTTTTTTTATTTCAATAATTTTAACTTTACAAACATAAGAGGAACGTCGGTGGCTACTGTCTCTTAGAAAGAATCGAGTGAACGACCTTATGAGAGCGAACACTCGTTTTCAATAGCACGTACGTACGAGATAATATGAAAGCGAGACTAAAACGAACAAGCGACGTCCTTAATTTTTCAGTGGTGTCGTTTTTAAATTAAAAATATACGAATTTATTCTTTTCGGAATTCATCGGTAAAAACGAAGCTGAAGAGAGGACTAAATCGAGCGATTTACGTTATCATGTTTA